ATCCAATTCATGAAACCAATCCTAATTATGTTAAAATGCTCTCCTGCCCTTGAAGCTATCCCTTATCTACCATAAAATCCCTTCTTTCTCTCTCACCCCGCCTAATAGCTATCAAATACTAGTTATAGGTGTTATAGAAGATACTCTCCTATAGAAGCACTGGCCTAGGTCACAAGTAGAAACTATGGATTTCAATATGAAAACTATTTCAATTCAAACAGAATATGTTTTACTGAAGATTATTCATAGATTATTACTTCTGTAGAGATTACAAGAAAAAATATATTCAACTCAAATTCCATTGCAATTGTTTCAGGGAGTTGATGAAAGGGGTTCCAATCTACCAGTGTAAAATAACAACAATAATAAATGTATGCCTGTTTCCTCTTCCCTTGAAAAAACTTTCACCCCCAGCCCCACCCGCTCAAAAACCCTTCTTCATACTCGTACTAATAATTGTTAAAATATCAATTTGAAAATGGACGAAATTTCGACTGAGGACAGGAAATTTGATTAATCAGACTTCCTCCAGAAGTAATTCATTATTGAATCTACGAGCTCCGTAACTTGACACCTGGACTAACCCTGACTTTAACCTCCAACGACCAGTCTTTTTCATTATAGAATTAATACACAGAATGATGGGAAGGAAATTCAGTATCGACTAATCTGATTGTTCAATAAAAACGTTTCCCATAATCCTGTTTGTTTGATTAGATTCAACTGGGAAAATCGTCAGTTGCGAGACAAAACTAATTCTAATAAAACCCTGATTGGACGAATCGTAACGTACAATTCTGACAAAGTCTAACTAATCGGCTAGTCACTCTTCTGTAAAGAAAGACACAAATGGTATTTAGATGCAAGCTGTTTCAAAATGGCCGAACAATACCGTCTGCTGTTGGCTCAATCGGTCAATTTGATTTGTAATCAGACGTCTTTTAAGCCCAGTCACGCCTGTTTCCCGCTAAAATCAACATTGTTCTAATCAAATTGTTTGACTAGGGGATTTAAAAACATGGAAAATTAACAACAATTTCTTCCTCTTAGGTCAGGGTCTCAATTTGATGACATGGTTACAGATTGGTTACACCATGGTTACATCACGGTTACATCATGGTTACAAATTATTGCGAATAAAGAAAACATAATGGATATTTCAAACCATATTCAGATAGAATTTTTCAAATTTCAATTTAAAAAATATTAAGCAAATAAAAAGATGGTTTTTGATATTTAACAAATTCAATATATATTTAAATGTGGAGTGCAAGTATTGTGAGAAAATCTTTTCTCCTTTTGCACATGAATTTATCACTTTTTTGTTAACATTATAAAATCATTTGATACTTCAATCTTGCATGAAAATAGCTCATTCAAATTGGTCCACTATTATACAACTTTTACTCCTGATTTAGTCATTCTTTGGATGAGATTTTTGATTGACAGAATTGTCTTAATTCAATAGATGTTTATTACTATTATAGGGAAGTAGTTTAAAATTCAATTATAAGTACAGCTAACAGTATAGCAGAAAAAAAAGTCGGCAAGTTTCAAAAGGTTTTTCGGTCCAATATATTTGTTAGTGCTCCCCAGCTTTTTTCTTTAGATATATTATATTCTTAAATTATATTCAACTTCATAGAGTGTTCAATGAGGCAAAATTAGCCAATGCTGTCACAAATAATTCCATTTCAATATTTAACTATCAAAGAATCTACACGAAATATCAAATAACTCAGTACAAAATTTTGAGATAAAACTTGTGACTGGATATTATCATCTACAGTAGTCTTGTCTATCCAGAAGGAAATATCAAGAATAATTGGTAAATAACATTAAATCTGAATCAGTCTAAAGTAAATTCTATGTCAAATCAGGATGAATTATTGAAAGATGGCGTGATAAAATTAACTGATTGTCTCCTTCCACCTTTCCAATCATAATATTTTATATGGATGTGAATTTCAAACCTGTTATTATTAAAGTATACAGTAGCGCCAGCCTTCCGAAAGTACCAATACTGGGGGTACCAATACTGGGGGTGCAAATAGGGGCAGACTGACATCAGCAACATACGGCAACACTGTGTAGGTATCATAATATCAGGCCTCTCTTGGAATCTCTGACACGGTTCTCTCCAAGAAAATTTACGAAAATAGAATTTAATTGGAGCATTCTGACATATATTTTTATTCTGTGACCCCCCCCCTCTCCCCAAACCATTTTTCGCTTGTCTTGAATTTGATGATAATTTGAACTCTAAAGCATCAAGTTGATGAACACATCTTTTGCCTTGAAGTTGAGGGAGATTTAAAACATTTTCAAACACTTAATAAAATCCTGGGCTATCAAAAAAGAAATTTCCCCCAAATTTTCAAAATATCAATAAAGAGTAAAATTCCCCCAAAAATATGTGAAAAAAAAAAAGTAATGAATTCCAAAAAATTGTTAAAATAAATTGAGGAATACCTGTCTATTAACACACCTGTAATTAACATTTCCTTTGATCTTTTAAAATTTATATAAAATCTCATTTAAACATAACGAGTTGTTTTTATACACAACAATGTTGCAGTTCATGCTGTAAATGTGTTTAAAAGGGTGTTAAAGGAGACAATAGAACAGTAAAGTGGGAGACTGATTTGATGATTTTCACCCCCCAGGACCTAGCCCCAGGTCTCTGGTGTTTATTAAAGCCATGAAATTAGAGGGAGTGAAGCGATTAATTGAATCGAGAGAACAACAATGTTGCTAACTCAACTACACGGCTGTATCTGATTGGTCAATTATTTCTATAAAATGGTGCGTAAGTTTTGAGCCTCGAGGACTGAAAGATCAAACCTATCGTTTTTATACTATTTGACCTCATTTTAAATTTTATTGTTTAAATATTTCAGGATTGTTCACAGCGTTTTTAGTTTTGTTGGTGAAATTCTCCACAATTCATTTTTAATTTGCTGTTTATATACTAAAGCCTAAATATTCTGTTTACATTAAAACATTTAAATATATATTACATATCTTTACAATCTTTTGGTCAAAGCATATTCAAATATTAGCAATGAAATTAAATCTTATCAGTTTTTTTTTTAGGTGAATCTACTGCTTAAGAATTGTATAAGTGTCCCGATCTAGGCAAAATTTCCCCCCATTACACACTGCATGGTGCTGAGTGTCTTCATTAACCCAGTAAGGTACAGAATATTATAAAACTCGTAAAAAGAATTCTTTGGAATAAAAAAATTTTTTTTTCTTTAATTTTCAGTTTCTATATACTTTTGTCAGATCTTACAGATAATCACAGAATTTATTGTTTCATAACTTTTCCTACTATTTTATTAATCCAGTGAAGAAGCCATCATATGAATTCTGTCATCACCGTGACAATGACCTTCCGTTAAAACATGGCTACCCTGTCACCATGAAGACGTAGATTAAATATGGCCGCCTGTCTATCCTAGGTACACCACTATAATTATTATTGTATTGTTTTGTTCTCAGTGGGGGCTGGTATTAGACGGTGTTACGCCTGACACAAGTTTACGCTACACTTTAAAACAATAGAGGACACGTACCACAAGTTTGTATCATTATAAAGACAAGGGGAAGACAGCGCCATGGGTTCAACCCTCCGTTAAAACAATTGACAGTTGGTTCATACTGTCATAAAGATGACAGTATCTCATTAAGATATTTTAATTAGATTTAATTAGTTTTTATAAAACTTCTTCCAAGGTAGAGGGTGTATCTTTTATGTCATAAGGCATTATGGAAAATTTTGCAAAGAAAACTGTTTATTTGCTGCTACCATTGTCTTGCTTAACTGTTATTTTTGATTTTGAGTTTAATTTTGCAGTTCAGATCAGTAAGTACTTGGGTCTTTTATCAAACAAGAATCTGTAACTTTGTCAACACAAATTTCACAGAGATCACATCCACTACTTATACATAGAAAAAGCCTATTTTCAGGGGGTCATTTTCAGGACAATCCACCAAGACTAGTGCCTTCTGATGGCCGCCCCTTCGTCAATCAAAACCTTCGCTACACTACTAATAAACACCTACGACATACAAATCAAATTAATTATTTCTTTTATCTTCAAAACATCAAAGATTAAAATTACAAAACATTTTTTACAATTCTCCATTTTTTATAAACTAACTCGTTTTGTAAAAATCATTTTGTTTGTATAATGCAAGTTTTAGATTACATAATCGATAAAATTTCTAAAACAATGCAAAAAAGGCCTGGATAACCAAGATGCCATATTTGTTTTTTATGTTTCGAATCCTTTGATCTAGTTAAAACTATTTTAGAGAAAAGTATCCTGTTTCCAGGCATGGATTTGAGTTTCTAGGTAAATTTTAAAGTTTATTCATCTTTACATTCAAAGTTGTTAAAAAATGGTGTTTTTCGCGATTCATGGAATTCAGACAAATTTGCTCAATCGTGGAATCTGAACGAAGCATGGTTATCATGATATCACTAGCTTAACCAATCAGATTTCTTATAAAATATACAGTGAACTTACCAATTTAACACTAATTAAAGGTATGCCAAGTTGACAAACCCAATTAGCATGTGGCATTCCTAATTAACATTAAAGAGACAGATTCACCATTTTGGTGGGTTGATTTAAGCGTTGTCAATATGTAAATTAGTCTCAAGAAGTGCTAGAAATATCTCAAACTAGGAATTTCTTTTCCTATTTCTATACATGTCTTTTCTATATATGGCAGTGCCTCTAGTCTTTATAACTTTTAAACAAAGCTAATTCTAAACACTCTGATTTGAAGGCTCAAATTTTGACATTAACTATGTGGACTCTCTGAAGGGGATGCCAAATGAACAAATACATAAGTAGAAGCAAGTAATTTAAATTGAATTTTTATTTCCAATCCAGTTATTATCAAAATAAAATATCTTGTTCTGCAGTTTAACAGAGGATTTTATTTTTAAAAGACACATAAAATCATCACTTGATATCGTTACCTGTATGTGTAATGAAACGTGTTTAAAATCATCACTTGATATCGTTACCTGTATGTGTAATGAAACGTGTTTAAAATCATCACTTGATATCGCTACCTGTATGTGTAATGAAACGTGTTTAAAATCATCAGTTGATATCGTTACCTGTATGTGTAATGAAACGTCGTGTTTAAAATCATCACTTGATATCGTTACCTGTATGTGTAATGAAACGTGTTTAAAATCATCACTTGATATCGCTACCTGTATGTGTAATGAAACGTCGTGTTTAAAATCATCAGTTGATATCGTTACCTGTATGTGTAATGAAACGTGTTTAAAATCATCACTTGATATCGTTACCTGTATGTGTAATGAAACGTGTTTAAAATCATCACTTGATATCGTTACCTGTATGTGTAATGAAACGTGTTTAAAATCATCACTTGATATCGTTACCTGTATGTGTAATGAAACGTGTTTAAAATCATCACTTGATATCGCTACCTGTATGTGTAATGAAACGTGTTTAAAATCATCACTTGATATCGTTACCTGTATGTGTAATGAAACGTGTTTAAAATCATCACTTGATATCGCTACCTGTATGTGTAATGAAACGTGTTTAAAATCATCACTTGATATCGCTACCTGTATGTGTAATGAAACGTCGTGTTTAAAATCATCAGTTGATATCGTTACCTGTATGTGTAATGAAACGTGTTTAAAATCATCACTTGATATCGTTACCTGTATGTGTAATGAAACGTCGTGTTTAAAATCATCAGTTGAGAACGTTACCTGTATGTGTAATGAAACGTGTTTAAAATCATCACTTGATATCGTTACCTGTATGTGTAATGAAACGTGTTTAAAATCATCACTTGATATCGTTACCTGTATGTGTAATGAAACGTGTTTAAAATCATCAGTTGATATCGTTACCTGTATGTGTAATGAAACGTGTTTAAAATCATCAGTTGATATCGTTACCTGTATGTGTAATGAAACGTGTTTAAAATCATCAGTTGATATCGTTACCTGTATGTGTAATGAAACGTCGTGTTTAAAATCATCAGTTGATAATGTTACCTGTATATGTAATAAATAATGTTTAAATAATAAATAGAAGTCTATATCTATAAAACTGTTGTCTCCTAAAGAATAAGAAAGTTACTCATTAAAAATATTCTAAATTTTATTCTATTTTCTAAAAAAAACTGTTTAAATCCTTTTGAGTATCATCTACCATCATTTTTCCCACTCATTCAAAAAAAACAAGTTGTCGTTTGATCGCCATGGTTTATAAAAATTATACTATTAACACACCTCTGACAAAAACTTGCCCTTTTTAAAATTCAAACCCATCTTGATATTTGATTATAATTTACTTCCTAGGGTCCAACAAGCACGATTTCGTATTTTTATGTGACAAACACAATAAAATAAAACTGCAGTCTAATCAAGTTATCAGTGAATAATTCAGAAAAGAAAATATTTGTCTACATGAAGAGAATTTTTAACAATACGTCTCCATAGAAAGTGTTTGAACGGACCAAGACACTACAAGTTAAATATTTGATCACCCATTGCTGTTTAGTTTTTACTAGTTACATGCAACTTCTTGTATTATTTATAGTTATGATTTCTGTATTCGTTTAATATCTACAAATAATTTTTTTCTGAAAATTTTTAATTTTGGAAGGTTAAATGAAACGAATGGAGTTTTACGTGCTACTTTTCTGCACCATGTGGGCTAATGAAGATGGGCAACGCCATGCAGGGTGCAATGAGGGAAATTTTGCCAGGACAGCAGCATTAGCCTGCTCTTTTTCTATTTCCAACTGTCGAGGCATCTTTAACTTGCACATCCTGTAGCACACAGGGCCTACATCACTGACAAGGGAACACTGGGGTTGAAAAGGTATCATCTTGACCTACATCAGGATTGAAACTGGGACCTTCAGGGTAGTGAGCATGCATTTAACTCCCTGAGCGAGAGTGAGATAAACAGCTGAATAATACAAGTCAATCAGCTGGTAATAGAAATATCAAATGTCTACTGTCAACTGTCAATTTTTTTTGTCAAGAAAAAGTGACCATGAATCATAAATGACTTTATCCTGGCCTGGAGATGTTTGCAAGTATCCAGTGATCTTTAGTAGAGTCTATATTTAAATCATATTACAAGCATCTAGTTAAGGTCTGGAGAAAACAACACAATAGAGAAACAAGACACTTTATTTACCCTTTTTCTTTATAACATAGTGTTAATATTTATACAACTTCCAACTTACTGGGGGACAGGCTGATTGACAGACAGGATGAATGAATGAATGAATGAATGAATGCATCAATAAATGGATGAACTAAAATGAGTTGAGTTTTACGTCCTACTTTTCTGCGGGCTAATGAAGACAGGTATCAATGGATGAATAAACGAGAAGGTATATGACAGATGGCAGGAATGAATGAGTACTATTTTATGAATGATTGAATTGAAGGAAAGAAAGGATAGACAGGATGAATAAATTAATGAATCAAGGAATGAATGGATAAGTTGGATGGATGAATGAATAAATGTATAAATTATTCATCATTAAATGAATGAAACCGCAAAAGAAAGAAAGAGGTTGGAAGAGTTTTAGAATAGTTACAAGAAGACCTGAAAGCCAGTAAAAACCTCTTACTCTAATTCAGAATGAGGTTGAGAGGGGACTTGAAAATGGTGGAGAATAAACGATCATGACAAGAACAATAAATCGTTGGTTGTAAAGGGAGGTAAGTCTATTTATTATAATAACACTTGAAACAACTTGAGGAACAATACTCTATTCTTATCCCATCTTCAACCACTTTCTTTCAACTCACAGAGAACACAAACTTTCTTTCAAACTTTCTATTGCCTAACGAAACCAAATTTTATATCCAACACTATAGATCCTGTGTTCAATCCTGGCATAAACGTTCTGATTTCTCAACCTTATTTACACAAGATAATAACCTTCAGATTTTTCAACCTGGTTCCCTCTGTCAGTAATGCAGGTAAGTGGGGCTGACAAAGCATCTAGTCATTCAGATGGGACAATAAACCCAGGCCCCATGAGCTATAGGCTGTAGATCCCTCAACAGTTAGAAAAAAAAAACAGGCTAATGCCGCTGTCCTTGCAAAATTTCCCTCATTGAACCCTGCAAGGCATTGCCTGCCTTCATTAACCCACATGGTACAGAAAAGTAGGACGTAAAACTCCATTCATTTCCATTCAATCTTATTCACACTTGCTGATCCAAGATTCTGATGGATAAAGCATCTGGCCTCGTGTGCAACAGGCTGTGGAACTTCAAGAGAACTCTACAGTTTGGAAACCAAATAAGGTTAGGCTAATACTTGACACAACATGGTGTTTATCATCTCAATCAGCCAATCAACTTGGAGTCAATCAACTAGGTACAGAAAAGTAGCATATAAAACTCCATTCTAATTTCATTTTCAGTTCACTATTAGGCTAGTCCCTGAACCTGGGTTAACATAAGTTAAGATAAGTTAAGATGCTTAGTTGAAACACCATGGCTCAATCAAGAGTTGAAAAGTAAGAAGTAAAACTCCATTCAATTATAGGTTTCTAAAGTTGAACCTTGAAAGGTATCATAAAGATTTGTAAACTGATATGCGATACTGCTTCAATTGAACTCTGAATGCCCGAACTCTAGATTAATGGTAAAAAGTAAAACTCCATTTCGATTTCGTTATTTCAATTTTCAACCAGACGCGGCCCCCAGTTTAATCTCTACAGCACCCTATTGTGTCAGAACATGATAAATAAATCCCATATCCTTCCCTTTTCTCTCAACCAAAACATCACGAACATAAAACTAATATTGATACAACTCTCTCAATCTACAAACTTGACCTTCAAAATATTCAAGGTCATGTTGAATAACATTAAAATTTATTCATCAGTCGACCTTTAAATAAATCGTGACCTTGAGATTTAAATATTTCACGTCAAAGTGTTAAATAAATTCGAGATATGTTTCAATTCTTTTGATTTCGTAAAAATTCAAAACATTTAAAATGTCCGAAACAATCCACAATAACAGAAGAAATCTTCACTAAAACCAAGAAAAATTTAGAATCTTTTGATTTTGTACCAAATGACAATATTGATGATTTGATTTGGTGAGGTGTGAAATGTTTTAAACAACAGTTAAATCTGGTCATGTATTCTCAAAACGATCTTAGAGCTAGGATATCCTAGAAACAGTGATAGACGATAACAACCTATGAACTCCTAGGGCTAAGATTGTTTTAAAAATACGCCGATTGGACATTATGTGAAAAAAAACTTTAAAAACTAAAATTGTTTTTCAGGCATGTGATCCTGGCCACATATTCTCGAAATGATCTTAGCCCTAGGATGTCCTAGGTTCTTATCTTCTAACATTGATTCTAGGACGTCCTAGGTTCTTATCTTCTAACATTGATTCTAGGACGTCCTAGGTTCTTATCTTCTTACATTGATTCTAGGATATCCTAGGTTCTTATCCTCTAACATTGATTCTAGGATATCCTAGGTTCTTATCTTCTAACATTGATTCTAGGACGTCCTAGGTTGTTATCTTCTAACATTGATTCTAGGACGTCCTAGGGCTAAGATCGTTTCAAAATAAATTGGCAGAAAAGACAACAAATAAAGTTATTCTCACCTTTCATCAAATTTTATTTTTGTAAAACTATCCTTAAATAAAAATACAAAAGTTAATTCCAATTAAGGATTTTTTTAAATTATGTTTTTCATAGAATCAGCCAAAAGAAACAGACTGAATTTATGATATCTTAAATTATTTTTTCAGTCCTCCTGTGAAAACCCACAAAAATTTTACAAAATCTCAAATTTAATTCAATTCAAAATTTGATAATTTTCTCATAAATCAGAACGCTGGAAATATAAACTAGATTCTGGTATTGTTATTAAAATAATAATTTTTATATTTTTTAAAGATTTGAGTCATTTATTTTGACTCAAACAATGTATTCTAAATTTAAATCTTTACAACGTGTCCCGTTTATCATATCTGTCATAAAGTTTTGACACCCCAGAACAAATTTATGGCATATTTTAACCCTTTAACTGTATTTTACTAACTGTATATTTGATACCAAGGAAACATATATTTCAACCATTTATGAAATTTTGTTCATTTTAAAGATTTTAATGAATTAAAAAATTTTTTTGTTTTTTCTTTCTGATTTAAAGTTTTATCAAATAAAACCATCAATTTAATCTTCAGAAGTACAAGAAATGTACGAAAATCTCATGATTCCTTCAAAAATACCTCAAACCAGGAATTTATTTTCCTATTTTTGTAGATATCTTTTATGTATATGTCAAGAGCCTCAAGAAAAGACGAGTCATCATTTTAACTTTCAAACTCTAGATACACATGGATTTGAAGGCTCAAATTTCAACTATTACTGATTATGTAAGCTAATAAAATTCTGTTTCTGAAACTAAGGTATGATTGGTCATAAAAATGGCGAACCTATTTCTTTAGAAACTAAAACAGGTAGAAATAATTGCCAACAGTAGTTAACATATAACCGAATGTAAAACAATTTCAATTAGAGTTATCTAATCATATGATTACAGAATTATATTTAGGTATATTTTAAAGAAATGACATGACACCTTACATGTTTTGCATGGGTTTTTTTCAGGGCCTTGACTTACAGGCAAGAGTGAATTGGTACTATGGGCTTAGACTTTGTGTCCAGGTGGGGCAAAAAATTGGGTCTTGTGTTATGCAGACAATTAGACTACAATACATGATTAACACCTAAAGACAAGTCATGTGATTAGATTCTATACCAAGATTAACCAATCAGATATCAGGTAACATACATCAATCATACATCCATTATAGTCGTCATGACAATAAAACAAGACAGATAACTCTCACACAACTACGCTAAAATTTTACTTATTTACTTTTTATCTTGGATTAATCTATGTGAAAAATAACACAAAATAAACAACAAATGAATGGTCTAGGATAATCTTACACCTCTCCTTTTAAACTATCACCATTACCCAGTAATTCTATGTCTCA